CCTGGCTGCTCCAGGATGCTCACTGCCTTTTTAAGAGGCAAAATGTAGAACATCTCAAAGAACAGCCAGAAACTGGAGAAACAGTAAGTTAAAAGAGCCTGCTATTTCTCTATTCAGTGCATAAAGCAGAATGAAAGTAAAACAGGCAGATCTGTAGTTAAGGTTAGCTGTATGGCAGATTTCAAATCTACCTGCTATAAAACCTTTCTGGAACTCATTCAAAACATATGAATAAGGATTCGAAATAGAGAACAGCAGTATTTTTCCTTAAGTGGATTCCTGACCACTGAAACACTGAATTGGTAGCTCATGCAATGTTGGTGTTTCACCATTGCCACAGTTATTCATAGCAATTCCCTTATCTCAATTTCTTTGTCTTCTCCAGTGTTACAAACGATGTTTTGTTCTCCTTGCAACCTCATCCACCCTTCTGATAAGAGTGGCAGGTGTCATGCTGTCACATGTCATATAAAGGCCTCTCAGAAGAACGGAAATAAAACTGAATTAAAAAGACAGACTATGGAGAAGAGGAAGAAAAGGGTCTAGGAGACAAAATGTTCCAACTTCTTAAGTCACACAGGTTTCTGAATTGTAGCTGTCAAAAGACCCAGTTATTCCACAAAGACTTCCTCCAGCATAGCCATACCTTTTCCCTAGATGAGAACTATTTGCTTTGGCATAGCTGGGAGCCTTAGCTGGCTTCACAGCATTATATAGCCTTCCAGAAGGCGTGCAGGTGCTGGATGGTTCAAGTATACCATCCTATCTGCAAATTTGCTTTTGTCCCATGAGCTCCACGCTCCCAGGGAAGTCAGGTGGGTGCTGCAGTTCACAGTGTACCCTTTAGCCTTACTTTTTAATTACTTCCTTTCCAGGGAAAGCACTTTTTTCCTTGCTGTGCCATCAAGCAGACACCAAGAGCAGATGCTTTATGCTTTCACGCTGCCATGTGCACTCTCTTAGGCTGGTGGCTGCTCCTTGGATATGCATTTACATGGCACATGTAGCACACTGCTCCTCTAACACCTCTAGCAGAGACTTCCCATGCTCCTCTCAGCATGGAGTCCAGTATCTCCAGGGCTTTGACATGGCTGCACGCTGCTTCTTTCAGCCTCGTACATCCACACATTGGATTTGACAGTCAAGAATTTCTTCCAGTGGGGTTTCCTTTTATGCCACAAAGCAAACACACAGCTTTCTTCCCTTTCCCTCCTGCCTGGATTGAAAGGGAAAATGCTGACTTCAGAGCAGTGAGCCCTGAGCAGCAATCTGCTCCTACAGCAGCCCGTGGCCACCAGCTGCATATCCACAGGCCTCACACTGCTCGCTTCACCCTGGTTACGACAGGCTTTGCTGCTAAGAGGATAACTTGATGGTAAACCCATCCCCACAGCATCAGCCCAGAAAGGCTGAGGGGAGTTCTGCACCACCCACAGGCTGCTTCTGACATCACAGAGGTCTTCTCAAGCATGAGAAGAGGACCCACGCTGGCCTCTGCAGCTGGCACGTCACAAGCAATAACTGAGACAGACCTCCAGGATCCATATCACATGCCATGTTTCCCTTACACCCTTACATTTTAAACAAGCACAGGTAGAATTTACACCTCCTTTCACGTCTCTTTGCATTTCCATGGGGCTCCCGTGTAAACCACAGTAAGACCGTGAAGCAGAAATATCACTCATCTTTCTCTTTGTTCATCAAGCATCAGGTACAGACACTGACAAGGCATCCTTAACATCTAAGAAAATAAATTTAAGCAATCCCTATATAATCTTTTTTCACCACAAACTGTCTGGAGTGCAGATAAGATCAAAATGTGGCTTTCCCAGCCAACAAAATTATTAACAGCATGTGGAAAAAAGTAATGTTACACAGCAGCTGGAACTGTCTGATGGCTTCATGGAGCTGACAACAGAGCTGGTGCCTGCAGCAGGGAGCTGCCACCCTCAGCAGCACCCAGGGAAATACTGAAATAACAAAGGGGAAACAACAGGGTTATCTGGGAAAAATCTGTATTTTCAGGGCACTTTTGAGTTGCTACTTCTTATAAAGAACACTTCCCAAAATAAAAATCTGCATGAATATACTAACTACTAAAAAACATCCTCATTGCCTATGATCAGAAAGCACACCTTGATAATTCACTGTGGGAAGCGCAGAGAAAAGAAGTTAGGCATCACCTGTAAAGATAGTTTACAGGCAAGTAAATGCTGGATCTCCTTTTATTGCAAGAAAGAGGGGTAACAACTCACATGAAAAAACAAAACAACAAAAAAAATTCTAATTGCTCTCTACAGTGACCTGAAAGGAGGTTGTAGTGAGGTGGGGGATTGACCACTTTTCCCAGGTAACAGCAACAGGATGAGAGGGAATGGCCTCATGTTGTATCAGGGGAGGTTCAGGTTGGATATTGTAAAATCTTTCTTCCCAGGAAGAGCAGTGATGAGGCAGTGGCACAGGCTGCCCAGGGAGGTGGTGCAGTCACCATCCCTGGAGGCGTTCAAGAACCGTGTGGATGTGGCACTGAGGGACGTGGGCAGTGGGCATGGTGGGGGTGGGCTGACAGTTGGACTGGGTGATCTGAGAGGTCTTTTCTGATCCTAACGATTCAGTGATTCTATAAAAGTTCAACTCTCCTTTGTTCCAGTTAATGTTCCAATTGGCCAAAGGATTCAAAAGCTGCTGAGAAAAAAAAAAAAAACAAAACAAAAACAAAACAAACAACCACCAAAAAAAAACCCATAACAAAACAAACCAACAAAAAAGCCATACCCAGAGACAGAGAGATAGGCACAAAACAAGAATTAAGTCCAGGAGTTCCCCAAGTATGCCACAAATATTACCTGTATTTGCTAGGCAAATGATGTCCTAATGGCCTAATGGCATTCATACACACCACTGAATTTGTAAAAGACTTGCACAGTGTCCCAATAAGTTAAAATAAAACACAGCCATTTAATTCATTATAACTAGCAGAGCAAGAGCCTCCTTCCCAACGCAGCATACTCTGCCCACTTTGCCTGCACTGGAACGAATTCCTTCAGTCTCAGGAGCCCAGAGAACTCAACTCAGAAAGCCATTAGAAAAAAAAAAAAAGATGCTGTTACTGGAGATTCATGCAGCACTTCCCACCTGGCCATTTTTAAACAATTGATACATGAAGTAATTTACCCGAGACAATAAAACCAGATACATTTGTATCAGTAACTTATGCTTTCAGTGGAAAACAATTCTACTTTCATCTTTATTAGAATTAAACTTTTAAGGCCTGAATTCACTATACATCATTCACACTGTTACATTTTAGATCCGCAGAGAGGTAATTGATCAGCTCATTAGCTCCAAAATGTGTTTAACAATACATTTTGCTAAGCTCCCATATTAAGAAAAACAGAGAAACCTGGAGCTGTTAACATCTTTTTATCGTTTGTTAAGAACTAACAAGTTAGGGCACTGTAACCATTGCTTTTTCTCAAAATAATAATAATAATCATCCCACCTTTGGAGATTTGCCACCTGGGACTGTTCTCTTCTCATGATGCTCAGTGAGTGATCCTCTCTCATTTCAGTGAGACTGTTGGGATCTTTCTGAAACCACATCCAGCTACAACAGGGCTTCCTTTCTGCAGATGGCAGCCCATGTCAGCTTGGCACAGCTTTCCTTTTTCACAAGTCCAAGATGCTTCCTTGTGCTGATAGAGAAGCTATGGAAAACATGCTGGGGCTGCACTGAAAAGCAGATTCCATAGCACTGACAGCCAGCAGCGTTTCCAGCCAGCAAGGTTACAATGATCTGAAAAGTAATCCTTTAGGATCAGGATTTTAGAGCACAGGTTGCATGCTCACTTTGGACAGATTGATGGCTGCAGTCTGGGCTTGTGTTCTCCCTCCCACGAACTGCAGGATGAGGCAGCAGCACGCTGATGCTTATTGCTGGTGAGCTCAAACATGGGACAACTCCTTATTGGGCAGAATGCAAGCACAGGCAATTATCATGGCTGCATTCATTCAGTTCTGGTTTTCTGTTTTTTTTTGACACACAAAACACGTACAGAAATGTAAGTGAAATTCACACTCCTGGCAAGCTGCCACCTCACCTGTTGGTAACACAGATGTTGGACTTTTAAAACTCCGGGCACCATGGCAGTGAATGAAAACAGAAGGATCCAAATACTGCCTACTTCAGCAACAGGGGAATAGATTTTCAGAGGGAAACAAACGTTCTGTTCTGCACGGCACAGAACTCTGAGCAAGGCAGGATATAAGAAAAAGGAAGACCATTAATCCAAGTAACTTTAGCAGCTCTTCCATATGTCAACCTGCTTTTGTGGCTTCTTTATTGATCTTGACTGTTAGAAGACAAAACAAAATGTGTGGCATCTTTGATTTCTGTATGTGCTCCCACAAATACAACTAATTCTTTATTTTAAATTAATTTTCCTTAAGGTTCCCCTAACGGCTTCATATTTCTATGCATATTCTCCTATGCTCCATTTGATTCCGGTGTTCTCATAGCCAGGAGTTAAATAATACCTTGAAAATCAAAGGTAGAATGATGATGCTCAATAGACCAGTAGTAAGTACAGTAAACACTTGACAAAAGTACAAAGATAACTGGGCTTTAGAACCAGCCCCTTTCTGAACAGTTCTAAAGCTTCTGTCTAATTAGGTTCACTTTGTGACAAACAAAAATGGGATTAGATCAGCATTTCTATTATTATAGCAGCCACATGACAGAAACTAGATGATTTTACTTGTAAAGCATTCAATCAGTCTTTAGTCCTGTACTGGCCTCTAATTTTCAAAGCTCATGGGAGACTGCATGCCCTTCTCATGAGCATGAATCATCGAGCTCACAAACATGTCAGCATTAACCTGCAATGAAATTGCCATCTTTATAAATACTTCACAACATTTTTAAATTGCATTCTGCCTGGGAGAAGGAGAAGGAAGACTATTGTCCATTTGTTTTTCCCCCTTTTTTTTTTTTTTTTCCCTGCAAGGAAGGGAGAGAAGTGAAATCCTGTGTTTTAGATAACTGACTTCATTCCTAACAGACTGCAGTGACACATATTGAAAATACAGTCAGTAAGCAACAACTTTAAGCCCCTAACTCTTCATATGACACATGTTTCATGGAAGAACGGAGCAACATCAAAAAGCTAGAAAACAAAAGGTCATTCTCATCTCTGTCAGTGTTGCAGCTGGTATTCACACAGGTTTCAATTAAGACACTTCTCCAGAGCTTCTCCCAAACATCACTTAAACAAGAAATCTGGCTCCTGATACCCAAAGAGTTTAAAGTCGCCTTCAAACCGAGCATAGAGGCGTCTTATGTCTCTCTTGCTGATTCCTGAAAAATACCTCTCTACTTTTGTTTTGTTGTACACTGTTATGCCTGGCGGAATCGTGGGGTACGATACCAGACGGTCTATGCCGGCTGCTTTCAAAATGTAGGGAGCATCGTCCTCCAGGGTTTCATGGTGTCCAATCACACTGTACGTGATTTCGCAGGGAGCACAGAGTTCCACATAGGTTACCCAGTGAATAATGTGATCACCAAACTGGACATCCAGCCATCGGTGATTGGGGTCACCCAGATAGCGAACAAAATCCTCAAACTGCAGCCCTTTGGTCTCCAGGCGATTTCTTCTGTACTTACGAATGATGCTGGGAGCAATTTCGTGTCGGTACCAAGGCTCAAAGCGAGGATTGTGCACAAACTTGTCTTTAAATGCAGAAATAAGTCTTTCAAATGGATCTCTAACAATAAAAAACTTGAAGTATAAATTCAGTCTAAACAGAAGAAGGAAAAAAAATAAGATTGAATAATTATGAAAATATAAGCAGCACCTAGCAAAGTCTTACAAACTGCATGGAAACTGACTGCAGAGAGAGCAATATAAATCTTATGCTACTTCCATAATCTATCAATACTATCATCAGTAGGACTTGAAATACAATGTCTGTATTTTTCACTATAAGTTTTTGCATACAGTACAAAATGTCAGTAGAGCTTCCTCATCCTCCACATTCTATTACAGCTGGAGAAGCTTAGTTTATCACAATCCAAATAAACAGGAGACCAAATCCTCTATGATGCTGAAAACTCTGAATTCAAGATATTTTTAATGTTATGAGGGTAAGCTCAAAATAAAATACACAATCACACAGAAAAAGTAACTCAGTGCAGCTAAATACAAAGAGGGTTGCAATTTTCAATGTCAGGTAGTTAGACAAATCATTGCTTCAGCACCAAGTGTTTCAGCTGAATGTCTGCTCTCCAGTCTGCTCACCCCACTCCTGACTCCAAGCCCCTGCCACGGCCCCAGGAAGCCATTCATCTCTTACCGCTTTTTAATTTCAGAGTCACTGAAGGAGGACAGACGTGGAAGGCCATTTTTCTCATGATCATGTACAATGCTTTCGGGGATCTCGTCTATGGAAGAATATGCTCCTACAAAAATTGAAAAGAGAGCAAGAGGATTTTTCAAGAGGGGGGAAAAAAAAAAGCAAAACTGAGCATGCTTTTGGCTGACAGCTTTTTAGTTTATCTTCCAATTTCCCCTGTTTTCAGTGTTTATGGTTACAATGTTTGATGCTGCCAAATGACAAAAGATTCTGACTGTAAAGCTCAGAGAACGGCCTGGGTTGAAAAGGACCACAATGATCATCTGGTTTCAACCCCCCTGCTATGTGCAGGGTGGCCAACCAGCAGACCAGGCTGCCCAGAGCCACATCCAGCCTGGCCTTGAGTGCCTTCAGGGATGGGGCATCCACAGCCTCCTTGGGCAACCTGTTCCAGTGTGTCACCATCCTCTGTGAAAAACTTCCTCCTAATATCTAACCTGAACCTCCCCTGCCTCACTTTAAGACCATTCTCCCTTGTCCTATCATTATCCACCCTCGTAAACAGCCTTCCCCTTCCTGCTAATATGCTCCCTTGAAGTACTGGAAGGCCACAAGGAGGTCTCCCTGGAGTCTTCTCTTCTCCAAGCTAAACAAGCTCAGTTCTCATGGCTAACTAACACCAAAATCCAAGGCCATGGGGCTTAGAAGAATTTCATCAGCAATTATGCTTAAGCCCATAACTTCCCGTTTCAGTGTCCCCACTGTCTTTTCCTCTGCCCACACATACAAATGGGGGAAGACTTTGAGAATTAATTCCAGAGAAGGAATCAGCATTTCTTCTGAGTTTCCACCACCAGCAAAACATAAATGCTGTGGGCTGCTTTTGGAACTGTGCCAACACAAAAGCATTTTGCTCTCAGGATCCATAAAATTCCTTTAATGACTACACTATGCTCAAACAAAAATTCCAATCATACAATACCACACAGATTGAAAAGCACTAAAATTAACAACAAAAAAGCTTCAGATATTCTTCGG